GACTAAGCGATCTATATTTCGTAAACAGACATGGAGTGGACAATATCGTCATTTCACTAGTTTTGTTTCTATCCAGTTTAAACGTTCCCTAGTGAAATGTCTGTTTTCAAGAGCCCACAAAATATGTACGAGAAACACATTGATGGATTAGCTTCGGCACATACATTCAGTTTTATTAGCTAATGAATATCCAGAAAACATAATCAATTATCACAGTAAGGAAAGCCTACATCTTGAAAAGACAGCTTCTGAACCAAAGATATCTATCTTTATTAACCTAACATTCAAGGATGATCAAGTTATGCAGTTGACAGCTCAGAGACTTCAGTCAGCCACCAAGCGCACATTCTACGCTGCATCTCTTTCCCTCACATCTCGAACATTTTCCATTCCTGAACCCACGATTAAAGGACGAAATTCTGTGAACTCTACTTCAAACTGTATCTGCAAGTTCACTTGCAGTTGCGGTGATACCTATATAGGTAGAACCAATGGAATATTCCAATGTTGTAGAGAATAAAATTTTCCCAAATGGTTGTTGAGACACACAGAAAATCCCAATGTAATTAATCTGAATAGAAATCCATCATCGACCATTTATTATTAATTAATCCCTTGAGTTCCGAGTGGAACAAAGGGCTTCAACAACATATCTCCACTTTGTTCTATTTGATGCTGCTCTCTTCACCTTGGTCAACGACTGCCCATAATCTCTGATCTCCTCCTCGCGCGGTCTCCTCCATGTCACCCTAGGACAACCAAATCGTCACTTCCCATTCGGAATCCACATGTGGGCCTGGTGAGTGTTGTTCCCTATCCATTTCCATTTTCTCCTACATATTTGTTGAGCAATCGACTCTTGGCTGGTTTGTTAGTCGCGAGAGTTTATTATTACTAATACTTTCTGGCTGGCCATTCGATCTTCGATATGGAGCCAGCGAATGCAGCTGTTGATAAATGTCTGTAGCTTGTTGGAAATCCTTTTCGTGACACGCAGTGCAAGTTTCTGACTCGTATAGAATGACCGACTTGACATTGGCGTTGAAAATCCGGGATCCTGTTCCTTATACTGCCAAGTGGAAAAGATTTCCAAACTGGTTTCAGGTTGATGAAGGCGTATCTCGCCTTTCCGATTCTGACTGGTTTTGACATCTCCATTCGTTCCGAGTGCCTGTAGATGAAACTATGCTTCCTAGATAAGTGAAGGAAGTAACCTCTGTCAAATCTCTTCCACTGCTTGTGATTGGTGCTGGTTGCTGTTTTGTTGTTGTTGATTGGTTATCTTCATCACATCCGTCTTCTCTGTGTTCACCTGCAGTCCTGTCTTTGCTGCCTGCCACTGATGACAGTTTGTTGTCTTTCGCCTGTAAGTCTTCGAGTTTGTGTGACACTAAACATAAATCATTCACGCGCGAAAACCAGATCCTCTAGAGTCTTATTATCTGTGGTTCAGCGTATTCCTGTCTCCTCGCTCCCAAGCACAGTCTGACTCATTATCCAGTATTGTTGAAGTAATTTCCAAATTACTTCTCGGTCAAGTTTTTGCAGAGAATGGCCTGAGTCGCTTTTCTTTGGTAGCTTGATAAGGTAGGGTTTCTCTCAATCAGCACGCACTTTTCGTTCCTTCCAAACCCTTTGCAATAATGGCGTGAGCACATCTGCCACAGACTCTGGGTCCATTTTCAGTGCTTCGGGGTAGGGGAACTCTGTCTGGCCCTGCTGCCTTCCCGGTCGGACTTCAGTGGTTTGATCGCATTTAGGATTTCTGATTTCGTTGGAGGATCGGTGTCCACTGGTAGGCAGTTCTGTGTGTGCCGTTGGTGGTATTTGTGGGAGAGTTGCAGGCGATGGTCGATTCAAGAGTCCTTTAAGGCGATCAGCCCATTGTTTTGTTTGCTTCTCCTCCTTGATAATCAGGCTCCCTTGAACATCTTTCATTGGTTTCATCATCTGGGTTGATCTCTTCCCGAGATAGAGACCTGGTTATCTCATATAATGTCCCGAGGTCCCTTTACCTGTGGACTGCCTCTTCTGCTTAGTTGCTGGCCAGTGTGTTGTAGAATTGTCTTTTGTCTTTCCTAGCACTCTTCTTCACTTCTTTATTCAGTGCAATGTACACTGAACTCAGCTCCTCCTTCTGCTGCTCACCTTTGCATTGACTCATCTTCTCTTTCACCATTCCCCCTCCTCTCTTCTATTAGCTTCCAGGTATCCGTTGACAGTCAATCCTCCTATTGTCTCCTCTTTCTTCCTAGAACGAGTGTACTTGCTTCATTGAATATCGCCTTCAGAGAGTTCCATTGTTCTTCCACGCAGGTTTCCTCGGTGATAACATATAGTGTCTCCGACTTTGCTCTGATATCTGTAGCGAAAGCATTCCTTGTAGTTTTGTCCTTCAGTTTCTGAATGTTGAACTTGAGTTGTGGCCTGTCTCCATTTGTGCTGAAGGATTTCAGCTTCACCCCGAAGGTTTCTTGAACTAGATGATGGTGTGAGCCCACATCTGCTCCCCCCTTTTCGACTACGTTTCCAGTAGACTAACTGCGTCTCCACTTCCTTGAGATTGCGACGAAATCTATCTGGTTTGTGGTGTTTCCATCGGGTGGGATCAATGCTGCTTTGTGTTTGTACACGCTCGCTCCGATCACCAAATCGTTGAAAGCGCAGAAGTCTGAGAATAATTCTCCGTTCTCATTCATTTCTCTGAGCCAGAGCCTCTCGACCCATGATGATTTCTCTTCCTGTATTGACTGCTCCCAGTTCGCCTGGCATTCATGTCGCCCCTGAGGACTTTGATGTCACCGTTTGCGATGTTGTCCATTACTGTTTGTAGTTGTCTGTAAAAATCTTCCTCCTAGTTTAGTTGACCTACTAAAATATGATTAGTTATTAGTATGCACTTTTATTTTATATAACTGAGTAATTGTCAAACATTGTATTTTATTTATGTGAACCATGTTAGTTGTAAAGCAATGGTGAAGAAACCACCAAATGCTGTCATCTCGCAAAATTTGTCTTCTAAATGCCTTATTCAAGTTTAACTTTGTTCAACATCCTACCGTTGTACTATGCGATGGCGTTATTTGTTAAGTGGTAGGATTTCTAGCCCTATCCAGAACTATCCTGCTTTCCAGGCTAAGGACCAATTAGTAAACTGACCGAAGTTTGAAAAAGAAAATCCATATGACGGGTACTTTGCATCTTCGTATGACTAGGTGGCTGTTCTAACAACTCAAATATACTTCAGTAAGTAAAGTTTAGACACTTCACTGAAAGGTGGAAATAGTTTAAAAGAACCATTCTGCATTTTCATTTTAGATGTATCATGAAGGTTATGTGAGCAGAAGTCTGATTTCTTAACAGGATTCAACGTTATTCAAATGTTAGCACCTGAGTGCAGAATAAATACTGATTTCTAGTGTACATGGAATAGGATACTACAATAAACTAATATTTGTTTAAAGTTGTGTTTGTTCAGTAATTCGATAGTTTTGTTTTGAAGAAACAAAAGCAACAATGCATTTGTGATAGTGTACTTTCAAGATAATTACAATTATTAGATAGTCTACACACACAAAACTTATCTTATTGACATTAAACTCGAGTAATTGTGTGTCTCATCAAATGTTTATTTTTTCAGTAAATCAATTCAAACAAATATTTTCAGAAATTATTCTTTCTCGAAATACAAAATCTGAGTATTATGCAGTAGAAAATAAGGAGTTAAAATGGCTTGTAATAGTTGGAAATCCTGGCTAGCAAAGTAGAGTAACAACAAGCACCCAATGATTGTTTCAACCATTTGCAATTGAGTTCACCAACTGAATACCTAAATTATTTCAGTTTGAAGTTCCGAATCAGCGAAACAATTCGAATTCAGGTTAGCAAACTGAAAGGATAAGAGACTGGAAGAAGCCGAATATTTGTATAATGTACACTACCGATGAGTTTGGATGCAAACGTGCAAGAATTTATTTATATTACACTGTCTGAAAATGTTGATCATAAGGACAATGAAATCTTAGTAATGAAACCACGTATCTCTAAGAAAAGAATCAAATCCACAGGCATCCATATTATTTTGACTACCGAGTAGTTTTTCATATGGTTTCAATTCAGTTCACTTGGTTGTACCAGTCCTTATGATGTAGTACATAATTTATGAGGTGAACAGGTGCAATGAATCTAGTAGACAAATGGTGAAACACTAGGAGATGAAAAGCATGTTTTATTATAGTAGCGAGAAATGATCCTCACCTCTATCGAGATAGGAATAGACTTGATCCAACTTCGAATATATATGGATATAGACTACAAATATAATATTATCGTTTTAACTGTTTTTACTAGAACCTTACTTATTTAATGCTGATAAACTACAAGTCTTCTTTTCTACATGACCGATGGTGGTTCCTCGATTGAAAGATGAAGCACCTAGACTAGCCACTTCAACTGCGCTTGTGGAGCGAGTTATATTGGCTGTTGATCTAGGAACTTGATTTTTCGTACTCGAGAACATCTCCCAGTGTAGCTAAGTAAAGGTGTAGCGAAAACCGTCAACAGTTCGATATTAGACCACCTGGTCCAAACCGGCCACAAAGCCAGCATTGAAGAATACTTCTCTATCATTGAGGTACCGCATGCTCCTAACAGCAGAGGCTGTCTCGATTCTCCTCAGACAACCGATGCTCTGTGTGCAGAAGAAGCAAGTCCAGCTAGCCACTACTACTGTCCTCGCCGTCCTTCAGTAGAGACTATAAATTCATGAATTTGTATTATTATTTTTCCTAATTTTCCTGATATTCAGTTTATTTTTATGTTGATGCTGTCGAAGTGTAATCCATTGATATTATTATTGATTCGATGTCATTTAAACAACATTCATGTTGTTAATAACACTAATTCATTCATTCACTATTATGTATATATAACTATAGAAACTGATGATGAAGGGGTTATCGAGAAGAATATTCTTCGTTCACTAACCATTTTTTCTTAATTGTTTAGATTTCCCGCCCATTACAAATAACCATCTTAAAACAATGACACTGAACTTAAGAGAAGTGTGTCCACACAAGTACCTACCATTAAGTATAATTAATATCTTTGCATTAGAGGAAATTAAAAAGACACATGTAATTTAAAACTGAAAAGTCTAACACTTTAAGCATATTTTTAATTTTTGTAGTTCAAAATGTATTTCTCTAAGTTCACTCACGAAAATATCAAACATAAGCGTTCAAATTATGCTCATACACAAATGTAACAACAATATAAACAACAAATGTTACAAATAATCAAAGTTTGTGATTCCTAATATTGATTTTCTCAAATAATATTTCTATCATAATCTCAGCAAAATTGAAATGAATAATTCCAATGTTTCGTTCAGTTAACTAGTCCGAAATTCTTCAGGCGGAATAATTAAAATTGAAATAAAATAGGTACATGTATGTATTTTGAATAACACACATATCGTGTCTTTAAAATCCTCGCCCAATCAATCATCATGTGAGTTATGAATAGACATCAGAACAAAAGTTGTATGAATTTCGATCGATATTTGACCAGAGACTTACTACTATTTTGTTATTATACCACCTTAAATAGTATGTTCTTTTGTACTGAACTTGAAAGAACACAATGTACACACACTTTTGGAACAAGGCACAAGAATTATATATATATATATACATATATATATATATATATATATATATATATAAAGGAAACTTGGTTGAAATATTATAAAAGGCAAAATATAATAAAATTATACAGACCAAATAAAATTAATAAATTGAGAAGGGGAAAACAAAAGAAATTCACAGGACACCAGGTAACTCACAGTACGGTGAAATTATTATCATTATTATTATTATTGTTGAGCATAACAATAACGTTGTGAACAACATTAACAACAACGTGAATTCATTATGTTTTTTTAAAGTTAAAATTATACATTTATGAATTTATCTTTACATATATTTGCACTTAATATAAAGTGTACAGATATTGTAATAACGCCTTCTTAGACTTTTAACATTGACTTCTGTGATGAAAGGTTCGCTTCACTTCGGCTGACAGTATTATTACCATTAGTCTCTGGTACATATTTATATACATAGCCCATAGCAGTTAAACAACAGAAGGAGAAAGTGATAAACAAAAATGATGGTTTAATTGAATAACTTAACAATTCAAATAATTCTGTTACAATGAAAGCAAACAACCAGTTAACAGCTACAGCAGAACTAACAGCATAACCACGACTATTAACGGGGAATAATTCCATAGTAATAAGTATTGGTAACGGTCCCCAACCGAATGAATAACCAAACATAAATAATGAGATCCAGAATTGAGTAAGTTTAAAACCAGGATGATTACTCTGTAATAATGGGAGGAGAGAAATATTATAAGATAAACTGTTTAAATATAAATATATATATATGTATATTTTTTATAGCTTCATTCAACCCACTATTTTGGTACTAGTATGGAATTTTCAGCATGTGATATCAGTCGCCCAAATTTAGCAGGCCGACAATTGATATCAGGTGTGCGTCGGCCGGGGATCGAACCCCGGACCATATGCATGGTCGGCGAGCGTCCTAGCCGCTGTGCCACCGACGCATATATATATATATATAGCATGAAGAATATTGGTAGTAATTTCTGAATAATACTCCGAAAAGAAAAACAACAACGTTCCATAAGTATTTTTCCTGTGATAATGGTAGTTATTGACGCGTGTAGATAAAAAAACTATGGCAACGTGTTTACGTGCATGGCATAGTAAATGCTACAAACTGCGTAAATAAATTGTATTGAATTGCAAATAACAGTGACTGTAATTCTTTGGATCATAAATTACCACAGAATTCATGCGACTTTATTTATTTATTTATTTAAAACTGAACAAGTGATTCGTTTAAACGTAAACAGACAAAAACAATTTAATCAGTGTCAACATGTCAATGAGGTGATAATTAAGAAGAAACATTTACTTTTCAATTATATATATACATATATATAGCATTTTGGTAAATTGTTGTGTATTGTAATAAAAATGCTATATATATTAGAGTAGAGCCAGAGATGAGGATCTAATTGAAAAGTAAATGTTTCTTCGTTAATTATCACCTCATTGACATGTTGACACTGACTAATTATTGTTAACAAACATATCGCCACTTGATTGGTAAATTGTTGTGTATTGTAATAAAAACAATTTACACCTTGTACTCAGCCGTACAAAAAAATACAACACAATAAAAATACAGACCGTAGATAAGTATGGTAGACAGAGAGAGAGACCAATTTTGTGGACTAGTAATGACATTTAGTGTTTTCAAGACCAAACAAAACGTATAAAGAGGTCAGTAGATATAATAGTAGAGTGAAGAGCGGAATATTCCCAAACTAGGACAAAACAGCTGTCGTGTACTCCCAGGTTTTCCAATGGTTCTCTAAATGATGTCAGCTCATGATGAAATCCTCCAACTAATCAAATAAAATCCCTACAAAACCAATACTTCAAAATTTATCTGATGCTCACTAGCAACTCCTCATATTCAGGTAGATAGTTATCTGGCGTTCTAGAGAGAAGCCATGACCAGTAGGGTTCAGCAGGTTGAGAGTGAAGCAGTAACTCATCGAAGAAGATATCGCGAAGTTGGAAGAAGTTAGAATTCATGGGCTGGTCATTGGATTTGGTCTCAGTGGCTTAATGGTCTACGAGCTCGCCTTGTAACCAGGTCCTGGATTTGAACCTCAGTGGGTGAATACTGGTGAAGAGTCCCAAACTAGGACGAAACGGCTGGTTGTCCTGCCGTTTTCCAATGGTTCTCTAACCGATGTCAGTTCATATTGAAATCCTGAATAAAAATAATGGGTTGACTATGAATCGAGTAACTACTCCTATAGACTAAGGTTCCACAGCAGGTAAAATAGTTCCATGTAGACAAAAACGGTGTAAAAGCGTAAATTTCTAAAGTAAAGAACAAACAGTAGAGCGAAGAGTCTATTTTCGGTGAATTCATTCACTTAACTATACAAGTGCAATTATATATAATTATTTTTGTATGTGTATGTACATTAAGTATGTTAAACAAGAATAAAAATTATTTAGGGTTATTGTTTACGTCATCGAAATACTTGAAAAATGTGGGGGAGTAATCAAAATTGTAACCAGGGTGGGTGAAGAAGATTGGTAGGCCTAGACTAGGGTTACGTAATATGAAAACGTTTTTCAGCTAAGTTAATGAATTCACCGGGAAAAAAAAGAGACTCTTCTTATTTCCTTGTCTGTTTAGGCATTTTTTCGTGGATTTCTAAAATATCTAAATGTATTATTAATGGAGTAAAATTCGAAACTTGTAGAAAAATTCAATTTCCAACTTACCGAAATTGTGATACCATAAGCTAATTGTGCAATAGCCATAAATAATGCACTTAGAATGAGTAAATGTTTCCGAGGTGCATAATTGACAGCAAATACTGCCAACATAGTGAATATCATTTGAACTGTTCCAATGAAAAGTGCACAAGCTGGAGGTGTTGTAGCACTTCCAATAAGGCAAATTGATTCGGCGAAAAATAGAATAGCATTAATCCCGGTAAACTGTTGAAGTATCATTAATCCTAAAGCTATTCGTAAACGATGATTTTGACTTGATGGAATAAATAAACAAGGACATAGACATGACATGAAAGAGTATTTCTTTGATGTACTTTCAATCGTGTTATCTTCAAGATCGACTGCATCCATAACATGTGGACTAAGCTTACAACAAAAGGAACAAAAACAACAAAGACAATAATGAATAACAACAGTGAGAATTGAAATTGGAACAAAGTCAGAATCACAGTATTTTCTTTATACAAGTGGTTTTATTGCATATCCCGGTTAATTGTAGCGTTGTAATCCGTTGCTACGGTGGTTTAATGACAAGTTGTATTTTTTATATATGATTTTAAATGAAATTTTGCATAAAAATTTTTTAGGAGGGCGTATATATTGTCAATGGTACTGCATTCTTGAACTGCGTTACATTTGATGAACTTTTTGCCAGAACACGTTGCTTGATACTGATATCTGTGCAATTTAATGGATTAAAGGAGGCAGTAAGTTCAAAAGTTAGATGTATGTTATTGGACTTCTATAAAATTATGCTGGTTTATTATTGAAACGCCCCCAATATCCACCGGATAAAGCAAGTGGCACTACTTTAAAAAAAAGGATATGCCAAATAATCGCCCCTTTAAACGTGATGATATATTCAAAGAGAATTTCATATGAGGATTGAAGCAACAATTATTTTCAAGTATTGGGTTTTCAGGGATTTTGTTCGATTGATTGGAGGATTTCATCATAAGCTGACATCAGTTGACATCCACAACAGGGTTTCAAAACCAGGACCTTCCAGTTACAAGGCAAGCTCGTACACCATTCAGCCACTAGGACCCGATCCAATGACCAACCCATAAATTCTAACTTCTGCCAAATCACGACATAGAGTGACCACTTTACACTGTCTTCTTCGATGAATTACTGCCTTACCTTCAACCTTCTGTATCCTACTGGTCACAGTTTCCTACTCACCGAAGAAGACATTGCGAAATGGTAACGCTATGTCATGAATTGGAAGAAGTTAGAATCCATGGGCTGATCATTAGATTGAGTCTCAGTGGTTTAATGGTCTACGAGCTCTCCTTGTAACCAGAAAGTCCTGGGTTTTGAACCCCTGTGGTGTATGCGCACTGCTGAAGAGTGTTAAACTAGGATGAAACAGCTGGTTGTCCAGTACTCCCTGCAGGTTTTCCAATGGTTCTCTAACTGATGTTAGCTCATTATGAAATCCCCCAACCAACAGTTATTTGTTTTAAAAATACCAGCTAAAATTGAAACGGTTTAATGTGTCACACACCTCTCAGTGTTATAAATGTTTATACTAAGAAATTAATAAGATATTGAAAGTTTCAGTAGTTAGTGACGATAAAATATTTATATCCCTGAGGCACACTTCGAAACATATCAGGCACTTTTAAACCGCGTAAAATCTAGAAACATTCTTCATAGATAATAATTTTCTATGTGTTAAGTTTATATATAAATTTTGAAATAACTAACTGCCTGTATTCTCGGAAGACAGAAAAGTGCTACTGACATTACTTCAGTAATTATCAAAGTTTTTGACAACTACAAGCTACAATATTCAGGCTCATCGGATTATTTTGCTTAAAATTTGAGTGCCTTGGTGGTTTACCTTTAAACCACCTCTTAAATTTCTCTTGACCGGTAGTATGCTTATTAAACAGGGGAGGTTGGGTGTGAGGCTAACAACTTCACCCCCAAAAAACAACGTCATTGCTAAAAAGACTTCAAAGCTAAGCACTCTATATCCCACTCAGGACGCAAGGAATGAAAAATTGATTGTTATTATCATTATTATGAATCTCAGTCCCCAGGTGATGTTCGGTCAGAACACTTAGTAATCAGGTACTAATGATACTAGTTGGTTTTCTAGAAGGGTATATAGAGAGGAGTTGGAAGCTGAAAGTCATTAATTGACAGCAAATGTACAGACCAGTGATTCACAGCTCCACACATATAACAAAATCAATACAGGTATTCCGATTGAAACGAAGCATACTAAAAAGTCAAATTTCATTAATTATCCTATTGATGATGAAAGAAAGAAGACATCATTCATGCTTACAAACTTCCACGGAATGATATAGAGAACAATCTCTGAAAGAGAATGTTTAAAAACAATTTGAACTTATCGAAATTGAGATTTACAGTCATATCCCTTGGGTGATTCTGAATTGAAATCGTAGTACATGACTACTCTTAGGGTGAACATGAGTTGTGAGGAATGTTTCAGCTTGCTGATTCATGAAGATATTGAATTTACCTACTTGTAAGCCTAGTAACCTTTCACATTATATCTGGCCAACTTTATGTCATTATTCATAACGATATCCGATTATATAATTTAACCTTCAGATTTGAAAGTAAGTCTTATTAGGCTAAATTTATGCAGTATGAGGATAACTTTTGACTATCATTGACACTTTTTCATCAATCAGATTAAATGCATTGATCTCTTATTAGTTGAAGGTCGTCTTTGCATGGTTTCAGTTGCCTGATCACCCAGCTCACTACGATATAATGTAATTCTACGACTTAGAAATCGCACTGATAATAGGTTCCCACATCGACACCTTCATGATAGTGCAAACAGTATATCAGAAACAGTGAACATATTCATGAATTTAACAGTCTGTTATATCACACACAATTGGTAGCTTAGTGTAACTACTTGTGTGTTTAAACATTTTTATACGGATCAGGATTCGAAATCTCATTGCTCTGATTAAATACCATGAGTTACAGTTCTAAAAATTAACTGTCACCTTCATAAAACTAAGAAACTTGACTCACTTAAAAACCTCAATGACATTTGGAAGTGTCTTACCGGTATTTATTTCCCTTGACTTTTGAGAATACTGTCTGCATGCAACTCCATTATAGATAAAATTTTATTTTGATAAAATCACAGTGTTATACAGTAATATTTACTGATGACGTTTCGAGTACAAATTATATATATATATATGATTATGAGCAATAAATTGTACTCGAAACGTCATCAGTAAATATTACTGTATAACACTGTGATTTTATCAAAATAAAATTTTATCCATAATGAAGTTATACTCTACCAGTACCCAAGTTTTATCCTTATATCAATAATACTGTATGCATGTCTCAGCCATACATTGTAATCATGAAAATTTAGACAAATAAACGCGGAAAACTTCTGACAAGTATCCTACCTGCCATTTAAATAGATTGTGTCACAATTTCGCAACTATATTTCATAAACCTTTTGTGAAATATGCAGCTGAGTAACCTAATTTCTTGATGATATATCATCACACCACACAAAATAACTCACTAAAGAAAATCCAAACTCAGAATCATAATTTTCCGATGTGCGCAGAAACCCTCTCAATGAATTGATGTGGAGTGAGTTAAAATTTCTGTATAATGACTGCAAGAGAGATTAGTGATGATATATTTGTAACAAAACAAGACCGTGACTCTATGGCCTCCTGTAATGTCAGTATAAACATATCATATGTATTCGTCAACCATTATGAACAATACATATATGGAGAACTTAGTTCAATTGTGTAAGAAAATATGATTGAAGACTCACTTTACCGAACAGCCGCATATTTACATTATCTGCCTCCTTAGTATAACCGGCTTTCTGAAGCCATTTCGGGGATTCTGGGAGGAACCAAACAAGAATGAGAACAACAGAAGAGAAAATGACATGTATGAAAGCAATGCGTTCCCACACCATATATACAGCCAAAAAGAAGGAGAAGAAAACCCCAGACACTATTCCGACTTGTGGTAATGCACAAAGTGCACCTCGATATTTTGGGGGAGATATTTCTAAAATGTAAGTTGCGGAAGACGGAAGACATAAACCAGCTCCGATGCCAGTTAGCAGACGTCCAAAAATAAACAATGAAATCGGAAAGGAAGATCTATACACTGCGTCGGCACACATGTACATCCAAAACCAACCCAAAATAGTTGGAATGCATGATATTAACAATGTAAAACGTCTTCCAAAAGACGATAATATATGTGCTGATATCAAGCCGCCAATCAATCCTCCTATATTCACTGAGCTAGCAAAAAGTGCTGAATGTGAAACAGTGAAATAAATTTGAAGCGTAGATGCTGACGAGAAACCGAAGGCTAAACCTAAAATAGAAGAATATTTCAGTTAGGCATATATAGAGAAGTTTTGGAAATACATTATCCAAAACATAGTATGCAAAAATAAAGCGCTTTTACTCTTCTTACAAGAAATGCTTTCTAACAGAATTACAAATAATAATTAATGAGGCGCTCCGTATGCAAATTATAAATCACATGACTGCTTTGCATTGTCTAATGAGCTACACTTATTGCATTAAGACCAACTTCCAATTTTTCAAGAGGTTCACTATCATTAATTTATTGGACACTAGACTTACATTCATAGACAGCTTTATTTTCCAAATTTTACTATTATTTCTTTTCCCAATAAAACACATGCCAAGTGACCTAACAACTTTCAAAAAATATCTGAAATTGACTCACAATCAATGTGAGAACTTACGGTACTGCTGACTACTGGTATAACCTACTGAAAATATAGTAATAAAATATGCAGTATGTCCAAACCCCATCAAATGACGAAAATTCTGCCAAATCAACTGAAATGCCTCGATCGCACAATACTTCAGGTTTAAATCTCGATACTGCCCATGTCGTACTTTTCACTTCATGTAAGCAATAAAGTGAAACAGTGAAAAACCTGTCATTTTACCTGTCACCGTCTTTTAGAGATGCTACAGCATTAAGCATAACCAGTAGATGCACTTTTAAGCAGATAATTATTTATTTCATAAGCGTCAAAAATGATGTCAATTTTAGCATAGTAACTCGATTACGATAACATATTTTTTGGCTACTTCCTTCACAGTCAGACAATGACGGAGTACTTTTCCATTGACAAAGTCGACTGTCACCTCGAGGTAAAGACTAGAGTTTCTAAAGATTGCAACAATAAATGCGTTGGACGAATACCATGACAGTCACTTGAGACGGTAATTTCACTGCTACTATGCTAATATGAGACCAATACGGCTAAAAAAGGAAATTTCAACGGCACATAGAATGAATATTGGGCTGACACCTTCTCCCAAACTATGGTGGAAATGACGCCAGACAATCAGGTGCAAATAATAACGAATAAGGGTAAAAACCTCCGGCTTCAGCGTGGGAGACTCTATTGAATTATCGTAATCTACTGAAAAAATCTCATACTACACATCATTACTAACTGTTAATTAATAAATTCATTCATTTGGAGACTTAGCGAGGATTTCAAAAAACCAACTTCCCTATAAAATGTCTGGATAACTGTTATGAGAAGTTATTCCGGCGTTTATGGATTGCATATTGCATATTTTTGCTTTACTCTTTGAATTATACCGGGGAAATAATAAAAAATTAATTAATTAAACACTTATTTCAATGATTAATACAGACAAAACACAATGTCGCAAAATACTCATTCAGACATCTATAAAACACAAAGTAATTGAGCAAAGGATATCCTTTTCAATAATTTCCTCTTCTGGCTCTATGTATATAAACATACATATAGAGCCAGAAGAGGAAATTATCGAAAACACAATGTGTCAAACTAAAGTGGAAAACGAAAGATGAGGAAACTATCACAGTTGCAAATTACGGTCCTTCTGTTGTCACTCTTTTATTCTTTTAAGAGCGATATAATGCGTTTAAAATTATGGCTACTCGCTATTTTTTTAATGTAATTTCTTACCAGGGGTTATGGTGCTCAATGCTGCTATAGGGATGGCTAAATAATCCATTTCCGAACAGAAACAGTTGTGAAAATAAGCAGCAGACTATTTAACAACTAGCAAGTAAAAATTTCGACCACAGTAGACATGAATCTAAAAAATAACATCGTTGAAATTATGAGTGTAATATTAGAAAGTAAACACTGGATGGAAATTATAGGAAACGAAATCGGTAAAAACGATTCAGACAACCATTTCTCGTAATATTTCTTTAAAGTAATCATGTGAATAACTAGGTGATACAGCAGTGAAGTATTTTTTGAAAAATACTTTCCAATCTCTCCTGTCGTCACAGATACAAAGCCATCTTTATAAGTGACTTCGAAAGCTTGCGTTGAGTTTACAGATGGCAAACAATCTTAAACTAATGAGGCGTATGTCCTAGAAAATATTTATTGCCTGGCAAATAGAATATTTTTGTCTACCACGAGGGAAGAATGACGGTGCTAGTCACAAAAAATAATACGCCTGTAGTTTGCAAATTTTAATATTAATATTAATATAGTCGACTAACTTATGTTAGTCGACTAGGAGTTCACGAAATTTCGCTGCAAGTCTAGTTACTCAGGGACACAACATAACAGTCTATCTGGGTAAATCATCGGCGTTTCGTTGACGAATGTCAAAATAATATATTTTTGTGTTGTCCAGGAACAAGTGGTCATTCGAAATAAATTGAGAGATGTCAGCTCAGTCACACAGAAGCGATAGTTTATGTAGACATCCATTTATCCATATAGTGTTGGAAAGCTGTACACGAATATCCCCGAAACTAAGTGCTTTTGCCACTACATGCAATATTAAAATGATGAATCCATCGATAGAACAAGGAAAACATACGATTCAGCCTCTCAAAACAGAAAATATACTCCAATGTTTTTACTATTAAACTGAGAGAAATGTATATGTAGCTTGAGGTCATGTGAAGAAATCGAGCTTCCGCGGAAACCTATTACGACAAATAATTGCACAAAATGTGAGACTATTGTACACCGGTTGACTGCAATATTATGCATTTGTATTGAAATTGAATATGACGCGTGATAGCAAGTCAAATTGAAAAAGTAAGATGAAACTAATTTATTAATTAGGAATCGTAAGAAATCCTAACAGACGCCAAACGTATAGTGCGCCGAACTCAGGTTATGTAGCTTTAGGGCGAAACAGCTGACATTGAATAATTATAACACCAAAACACTAAAGTCATAACAAGAGGGTGAATTGATTATCTCATTCGTTGTTATTCCCTTTGATCTTCAATGGACTACGTCTTTTTAAAGCGCTTATATATTCTCTCTTACATGCAATGCGCGAACTTTGAAAAGGGAGTGAATTTTACACGCTCTTGTTTAGTTTTGTCTTTTGTTGTGTTATACGCTCCAAAAGTCTACAGATTAACTTCGAATCAGTTTATTCTGATTGAAGTTAGTTAAATTTTAAGTTTTGAGTCTATTTAATTATAGGAAGTTGTGTTCTTATAACTTAATAGTTATATGTGCACTCATTGGCTTTTTATCACTGATTTATAAAGGTTATATGTATACAAAGTCATATTCAAATCGTTTTCCTGATAGTCTTCATCCAAGGTTTCTCAGGGAGCTATCAGCTCACATAGCTGGCCCACTGACCACGACCTTCAATCTGTCTCTCCTAAATGGAGTGTTACCGCGTGACTGGAAAGACGCCACAGTAACCCCTATCCATAAAGGAGGGTTAGGACAAAGCCCTTCAAATTACAGGCCTATTAGTCTTACCAACGCTTTAATCAAGACACTGGAAAGACTCATCAAGAAAAGCAAGAAGACCTCAACAAATTGTCAAAGTGGTCCGGAGAATGGATGCTCCCGATCAATGTGGCAAAATGTGCAACCATGCGCATTGGACAAGCAAGTATCAGCCCCTACGAACTGGAGGGAATAACACTCCAATCAGTTCAGACTCATATGGATCTAGGTGTCATAGTTAGCCACGATTTAAAAACTACAGCACACTGTAGTGCAATGACTGCACGTAGTTTCAGATCCTTATGTACAATTCACAGAGCCTTTACTAGAATCACCAGGGATATGTTCACCTCATTACATACATATCTGGTGAGGTCAAGACTAGAAAATTGTATCCAGGCAGCCAGTCCTTGTCTAGAAAGGGTCCAAAGGAAAGCAACACGTATGGTTTCCGGCATGACTAACTTATCATACGACGAAAGACTAGACAGTTTAAATCTCTTCTCCCTGTCATACCGTAGGCAGAGAGGAGATTTAATCACAATGTTTAAAATTTTAAATAATGACTACCGACCTGGCCTATTCTCTCTTTTTTCTTCCCACCAGGTCGGAACACCTCAGAGGACATAGCAGGAGAGTTCAAAAGCCAAGAAGAAATCATATTGCTGTTGAGTACTGGTTCTCACACCGAGTCATAAACTCTTGTTCCGACTCCCAGAAGGAGAGGTGTCTGCAATGTGAACTGATCCATCCAAGAAGGGTTTGGACAAACACAAAAATTTTCTAGAAAAGGATTAACATAGGCTCCAAGCCTTTTATCCTCAACCAATGAATCTTAAATCTGCATTTGAATCTTAGTAAGGGGTGAGTGGTAAACAGCTTCTGATTTTCGACGGGTTTACGAGTGGTCATCCCACCACTTTGATTTTTCATGGGTCGCCACGAGGTGGTCCATAATGACCCAATTCTATGCCCGTCACCTCTTTGATGAACTTTTATAAATCTTATGATTTCTTGAAGCTTGTTTCTGAGACTTTTTAGATCTTCTGATGATTATAGAACAGTCTATCTTCTTGATAGTTGTAACTTCTTCGAACACAGTGAGCGGAGATGCATTAGTCAGCGGATATGATGGTGGGGACATATGAGAACCACTCTTATCTGTGAGACAGCACTCTGTCGCTAAGGCTCCTGAGTTCGAATGGCTTCTGCAAAATAAGAGAATAAATAAAATTTTAAAAAACGGAAGTTGAAAATTTGTCTAAAGCTGAAGTTTAAATAACAAACTCCCCGAATGCAGGTACATGGTATGAGTTTCCTACTTCAGAAGGACACCTAAATGTATACTTCAGAAAAACAGTAGTTATTATTAAGCCCCCGCTTTTCTTCTACATAGTTCACGCACTTTGACTTTTGTGTTTAACTCCTATTCAACCTTTATAAGTAGGTAAAATTATCATCTTTTTTCACTTAAACTTTTTTTCTTTTCGCAAGAAAGACTAGAATTCCATCACTGAAACCTCAGGGGGAAATAGTATTTTTTTAATGAAAAAAAAACAAACAAAAAAGATGAACCTCATGTTTGTTATATATGTTTTGAATTATTAACACCTATTATATACTTCTGCGCCTCTCTGGTGGTTTTCTTGTGTCTTCTTCTCTTTTCAAAGTTACTGCCTTAAACGAAGGCACTGAAACAGTACCGCTATCCTCAACTAATTCGGAATATCGCTAGCCCACCTGGTGAATAACGGAACCACCTCTATCATGAAATCTGCTGACAAGTTCAAAGTTGGTCTCATATACAACTGCAAATGTCACAATTATGGTGTACTTGCCGGTGAATTTGAAGTTTAATGGACTTTCAAACACTCTATGAATCATTTACTTACAATTACTGTTCATTCCGCATCTCTTATATATCACCTCAGCACCTGTACAAAAATGCTACTTACCTCCCACAATTAACGTAATCGTTTATAATTCCCGCGTGAAATTGACATACCGTATTTTTTTCAATTACAGTTTTGGTTTGATGCTATATCTCATGAATTATTCGGTTGAAAGCATATCTCGAAAATTACCTATTGCCTTATTTGTACGTCTCTTTCCAAATATTTCTCTCAAATTTACTAGTATTCAATCTATTTCTAGATTAACAGATCATATATCTTCTATAAGTTCTAATTAGTGTACATATGTTCATGCCTGTAAAAATGGCTGGTTTCTGTTCCAGAAATAAAATATTATTATTTCGGACGTAATTTCTGAAAATTTCCGGAACAATGGCCCTCTAAAACATTCTAATTTATTTCCTGTGGAGAATTCTCCGGTTGATCCGCTGACCCTCTTGGTAACCTGCCTGGTCAGTGAGATTAGATTAGCCAACTAAACAACTGGAAGGGGGCTCACGAGAGCTGGGAATTTAATTTTTCTACCGAAGCCTCCTATAATGCTACAAGGGCATTCGATGGTTTTTCCTCTTGTTGTTTCGTTTGCATGTGTCTCTGGAACAGACATTGCTCCATTTTAGCGTGTGCTTGATTTTCATTGGCGAATCTTCCTAGTGATTTGCAAACACGCGGAATGAGGATTGTATTTCTTTAATGTCACTGTGGTACCCTAGGCTTGCCCCTACAGAATCGTGTACTGCTGCTTATATCGTCTCTAACTATGTACCATGTTCATAGAACGCCTGCCAGAGTGCCTGGACTTTAGAAATTTACTGCCATAATAGTGACGTGCAGAATGAGGATGGATATGGTGGGCGAAGTAGGCTGCAGGTTCTGGCTGCAGTGACTAAAACCAGACTTAGCTATGTCGGCTGCCACTGTTGCAGGTGCTTCCCGGTCATGTGTCTGGCTGCCGGTTCTGGGATGCTGTGTATGACCATGGTTGTTGGCTTGATCTCGATTGGTGCTTTGTGAGATGCCTCTCACATGTCCCGAGGTCAGCAAGCTTTCATGTTTCCGTCTAATAATGGGTTTATAATCAGCATTCTACATGACAGCGATACCTGTTCCGTCTCCTTGGATGTATTTCCCACCTTATGCCATGCTCCTATAATAAGGCTTACGTAATCCTACCGTGCAGAGGAGGGCTCACCATCGCTACTTGAGAAATATGTCCTTATTAGCACATAGGCTTTCGCTACAAGAGGAAACATCATCACGCAGCTGCCTCGGCTGCTAGCTCTTTAGTTCGTAGACGTCAAGGAACTAACCCTCAAAATAGAAGGTTTTTGATGTGCTGCATTTACTAGTGATTCCAAAAGATTTCTGAGAATGCAGTGGCACCAAAATTATCTACAAGGACGTTGATTGGTAGGTACCTCTGAGTTTGCTTATTCTCAGTCAACCACCAAAGTCTCCAAAATCTTTATTACCCTCGGAGGGGATTTTCTTCCCTTACAGTTTATAAGTCGTAAGTCTCTTTAGAGGACTGAGTTTTCCTTCCGCAGTCCAGCCAGCACAATAGAGCAGATGTTCAGTAGACTACCAGGACCACGGACATGTATCAGGCCCAGTAAATCAGTAATATTTAAGTTGAACGGCTATGTCTCAGCTGAAATATACTCTCGGCCTACAAACTTTACATTCGAAGCTTAGGTCACTTTGGGAGATAAT